TTAACAAAATTCATACACGCTCAAATTCAGTAAAGTAAGTGCATACATATTCTAAACTAGAATCAGAACAATGAAGAAGAATTGATAAACTGCAGTCAGGCAGAGAATTGGCAGTCAGTGGTGTAGTAATTCCATTAAATATGGAAACTTTTACATTCAAGTTCAAATGCAGAATCAAAAAACTTTCTTGCAGGTTGAGAATACTTGCAGAGGCATAGATTGGGTCAATGAGACTATTTGTGTACAGTAATTCATCACCCACCAACACAATATATACAAATAAACTCAAATGTGCAAAATTTTTACAAGGGTTCAGCTAGTAGTTTTTAAATATAAGCAGAATTGTAGGATGAATAAGTTCCACATTTACAGATATTCTTGTCTGAGAAATGAAAGACACCAGGACCAAGTATGAGAAATTTCAGGGTATATTTTTTAAGAAACAACAAGCAGGGCGAATTAGTGCCACACTTGGTTATCAGAGGGCGCATCTATCTCTGCCAGATTTCCTCCTTCTCCTCTTGATTGGAAATTTAACACATATGTGCCAATGGCTGTCTTATAATATGCACTAATTGTGCTTCATCTCACAGTACCTTAGCCATATAGGGGCCAAAATGTTTATACAAAAATTAATTAATTAATTTTAATTGATTGACAATGATTTTTATTACAAAATTAGATTTTATTCATTTACGTAAGTTTCATGAATTCAAATTTTATGCTTTAAATAGTCATCATTCAAATAATATTGTTGTTGTTGTTGATTACTTCAAAAAGAGGACAGGAGAAGGAAACATTTATTACATAATATTATTATTACTTTTGTTATGAACAGGCTTGGAAACAATTTCTTTTGGGGTTGATGGAGGGCTATCTACTATGCAAGACCAAATGGAGTTCATTGTGATTATCTATTGCAGTTAGTAGAATGTTTTAAGGACACTTTCTAGACATGCGCTGAGTGAAGATACATTTATGTCCAGGAGTAAACCTAGAGACATTTCAGCATTTGCTCAATGGATCAGGGAAAATCGAATGAGAAATGTGATTAAGCTGGAGAGGGGGGGGGAGTCATTGATCTGGAAGCTGAAGTACATTGCTTCTTACACACATCTTTTAGAAATATTAACTAAGGCATTACCTAAATATCGTTAATATATATATATA